TTATTAACAGAAGAACAGAAAGCATAATTGATTGACTCTGGATGCCAGGGTCCTCACTGTTGTCACTGTATTAGGTTACGGTATGTCTCCTGGGTTTGCTGAGCTCCGAAGAGCACTTTGCCCCTGTGCCCGGTGCCCCCAGGTGACTACATTTTGAATTCTGGTTTGTTCTTTTCCTTCTTCCACCCCTGTCCGATAGCAGCCAAAAATGACATGAGTATGCCAAAGTGTGGGTAGCGGCTTTTCAGTTTAGTTCTAATTGGCACTTTTCTCCAGCAGTATTAAGAAACGAATCAGATGTGTTAGAATTATTTCTAAGACAGAGAGTTTTCAGCTCGAGTATGGATCCTGCCTGCAAGTAATGTTCATGATCTGTGACATGTGGATCTGAGCTGGACACCGCAGAGTGTCCCCTGCTAATAACTAGAATAACAAAGGCTGTCAAGGGAGGTGCTTACAGCTCCTTCCATGATGACCAGATGTGAATGACCCCTGGGTGGAAGCTCCTGATGACTCCATCCATGTTCCTCTACCTGGCTTGAGTTGTAAGTGACTTGCCAGTCACAGGCAGCCTGGACCCAGCAAGGCCAACTCTATAAATCATGATTGGCAAGGGCCTCGAACCTAGCTCAGGTCCCATCCCCATCTGTTGACCGCGTTTATTTGGATCAGCGCACCTGTTTCGGTGCACCCATGCTATTTGGCAGGTCCGAAACAGCTGCAGGTTAAGAAGAGCCCCAGGACCCAGTCTCACCTCTGCCACTAATTCACCATGTAATCTCGGGTGAGTCACTTCACATCCAAGTCTTGATATCCCGTATAAAGCAGATAACATACCTGTTCTCCCTGTCCTCATGCTATCATTTGCATATCCATTTCATAATGAATGCGTGAAAGTGTTTGGCAATGAAATTGCCAGAGGAAAGTTAGCTGTTGATAACGATTAGAGTTGCCTTTCATTGAGTGCTCCATGCTTTATTTAATCTTTACCCCAGATCTTTACAATCTATGTCATTGCCTTTTTTGTGGATAAAGCCTGTAGAGCTGAGCCCCGCCAAGGGGCAGAACCAGGATGTGTGTGTGTGTGTGTGTGTGTGTGTGTGTGTGTGTGTGTGTGTGTGTATGAGGATATGCATGGTATGAATAAATTGATGGACTGTCAAGTCTCCCCCATGAAGCCCAATGTACGGGGCTGCCTGGATCTGGCAAGGCCCTGGTGGGTATTTGCTGTTCCATCCTAAAGAACCACGGACATGCGTGCTTTGGATGGGGCTGGGAGGGATGTTGGGATGGGCTGAGCTTGCCTAAACAGCAGATTTAGGCAAACCCAGGATTTAGGCAGCATCCTGGACTTGGTTTTGGTTCACCTGATGGTCACTTAGGGACAGGCAAGAGCTCCTCCCAGGAGCCTAGTTCAGGCAGCAGGGTGTGGATGTGCATCAGGGCTGGTGTGGAGAGGCCTGATGGGGGCCATACTGTCCCATGTTTGGATGGTACCCTCAGTTTTGCCCTGAGGGCAGCAGCCAGCCTGTGCTGTTTTTCATCTTGGGCACTGGGCAACATTTGCAGAATTAGTGGATGCTTTTTGAATGAAGCCTGAGAGGCGGGCACCATGGCACGATCTGGCTCCCGTGCGGGGTTCACCTACCCGACCCCCTCCAGTGCCAGGTCCTGCTGCGGGAGCAACGACGGGAGGAATTGGTCGTTTAGTGATTTCTAGCTCAACCATGAGGGTTTTACAGGACAGACTATTTCCTGATTTTCTCCTTTTCAACAACCAGTTTTCGAGTCTTAGATTGAAAGTCCCCCCACCCCCAGGGCCTGCCTGAGTGTGTCTAGAGAGGAGGAATGGGATTAAGAGAGTCTGTGGAAAGAGGGCTTTTGGCGCCAGGATCCAGCACCCTGGAACAAAGTCAGCACGGTGTCATTTCCCCTTCAGCTGTTCCAGCAGAGGCTGGGCTTTGGATGGGAGTGTGTGTTCTGGAACCTCTCTCTGAGTGGGTCACGAGCGCCCTGACAGTGCCTGGGGAGGGCAGGCATGCATCTGTCTTGTTTGGGGTCCAGGCTGTAGAGGTGAGGCTACAGAGGCAAGACCCTGTGCTCTCAGAGTCACTTCAGTAGCTGCCCTGTCCAGCTCCGGTGGACAAGGGAAGCCCTTCCACAGCCCCAGGAAGAGCTAGCTTTATCTGTGTGATGTTATCAGTTCTGCGGGTCCCCAAGAAGCTGCATTCCCAAGCCCCAAGCAGGGCCACTAAATCAGCTCCCCTGTCTTGGTGCCGTGGGGTCCACAGTGCACAGTGGCTTTAGCTTCTCCGGAAGGTGTTCTGCTGCCTGTCAGGCTGTGCAGGTTTGGAGAACCTGTGGGTCTGGTAGGGACCAAAAGCATTTGGAGGCAGGCTTATAGGAAAGGGGGTACAGGAGGCAGTCTTGGTGCCTTGGCACCATGCAGTCGGGAGAGGGGAGGCTGGTGGCTGGACCTACTCCTGGGCTCTGTCGTCTGCCCAGTCATCTTTCCTGTTGACTCGAACTCAGGCTTCCAGATGTGTCCCCTCTTACCTCTGGAGGCCCTTGAGGACCTCCTGGCAGCTATGGCTCCGTGGGCTGCCTAATTATATGTAGAGGCTGCTCCTCCTCTGGCCTTCAACCCTGGGAAAAACTCTTCCTAGTGACTCACCTGGGGGTTACAGCCCCATGGGGAGGCCGTACGTGTGTGTATGGGGGTGGTGTGCACACATAGATGGGGGACGGGGCCTCGAAGCTTGTGTTGCAGCTAAGGCTGAGCTTTGCCTGGACAGTCCCTTTGGGCTTCCTGCTGGTTAGTTAGGCTGCAGTCTGAGTTTTTTTGGGAAACCTGGTCACCACCTGCCTTACAACTTCCTCCTCAGAAGCCCGGAAGCTGTCTTCCTCTCTGGTCCCTGGCTTTAGAAGTCTGAGGAAGAGGAAGTTATTTCTACAGAGAAGGGCAGCCAGACACCTGGCCTTCCTTCCCAGTCCCAGTTTGGCCTCTGACTTTGTGGCAGGTCCTCGCTCCCTCTGCACTTCAGTTTCTCCACCTGTTCAAGTGACCTTCTTTCCCTTCTTTAGCTCTGACAGTCGTGTGGTTGCAGAAGGATCTTGTCCCGGGAAAGGTAAAGGTGATCCCGGGGGAAGCTCAGGCTGGTCCTTCATTATTCCTCTGGGAGCTCGAGGGAGCAGTAGCTGGCTGAGGGGTCGTCTGTGGGAGTAGAGTCAGGGCAGGCTGCTTGGAGGAGGTGAACTTGGAGCTCAGTGTAGGAACCAGAGGTGGATGTTGGTTCTTGGGCAAGGTCAGGCTGGGAGTAGGGGCCAGGCGATGTTGTCTGCACACACCGGCCTGCT